GATGTTAAAATGAGTTTTAGAGTGCAATTCCCGTAAGGAAATCGTAGAAAATGCAAGATTTTTTGTAAAACTTCAAAAATTTGTAAATTTTGAATCGTAGCTCCGTTTGAGTTCCCGCTCGAAGCGTTAGAAAGCTAGCGCAATATTATTTACAATAAAAATGGTCTTAGTGTAAGTAGGTGATTTAATTACTACGTGATTATGTAAAATGGCATGTATCTGTGTGTTTCGTTGTTGTAATATGGTGATGTTGCATTATTGGTATTGATTATAACATGATGAGTTGATAACATGTTTGGTGAATGGTGATACCATGATGAGTTGATAAATTATATATATTTGGTGAATAATATACCATGATGTTGCACTTTACCCCTTGCAATAGTAGTGAGTTTTGATTTATCCCTTTTTTTATAAAAAAAAAAATATTTTCGCCCCTTAACAAATATAGATTCCAAAACAGAAACATGGCCTGTGACACTCTTGCTGACTGTATAATTAAATGTCATCTTGTATTTTTTTTAAATATTTTTATTTAAGAGATTTGGATCCTAAATTAAATTAATTATCAAAATATATTATTTAGGCTTAAGCCCATTTTTTATTTACTTGATTAAAGGCCCATTTATCCATAGCTGTCCATTTTCAGTTCATTTAGAGTTGTGTTCCTTTGTTATATAAACACTATTTCTATTTCTATTACAAGCAATGTGGGACTCTTAAAATGTAGAGTTCAAAAATTGGTTGTGACACTCTTGCATATTCTCTAACTAAATCAGTCTCTAACTAAATAATTCATAGTTAATCCATTGTAGTTCTATATCTTATCAATCTCTAACTAAGTAACTTTTTTGCATATCAAGATTTTTAGAATTTGTTGTGATGTTGATGAACCGGAAATTTGAGATTGAAGCCTCTTTCGAGGTTGAGTCTCTTGGGCAAGTTGTGACATAGATAGGCTCAACTCTACCCCATCATAATGGATCATGGTATCTTGTGCTTATATTTATGTTTGAGAAGACTATGTCGTTGATATTTCCTGTTCAAGAAAGTTTACGCATTTCATTTCAGAAATATTCAAGGGTTCATCTTTATTCAAGAAAGTTTACGCATTTCAAAAAAATGTGAGGCTTGATTAGTCAAACTCAAGTAAGCTACAAAAAATGTTCAACTACATATTAAGAATATGTTTGAAGATACATCTATGTCAGTTCCACAAAAACATGAAGAGAAAATCTTGTTTATAGTGAGGTGCATTTGAGTAACAGCTTATATAAACATCTGTTTCTATTCAAGTTGTAAATAATATTCATAAGATATTCTACAGAGATTGTTGAAATGAGCTGAAAACAACTTATAAACATGTCATAAATAAAATTTAAAATCTCCATCAAAGATATATAAGTTGTAAATAGGTTCTTTCAAACACACCAGTAATGAATTAGTAAAATGTCACTACTGTGAAATTTTTTGAAGCGAAGGGAATTCCACAACTTGTAAGTAAGTGATGTATAATTTTATTATAAACCACTGTTTATGATCAACAATGGTGCATCACAAACACATAAACCATTGGCTAGTATAGTATGTTATTAGAATAGCAGTATTTGTCATGGGACCATGTCCTTTGTTTATGTTTATCCTAACCTAATGATGTTGCCTTTGCGTGCAGATAAACCTCAAATTTAGTTAGAGATTAAGGTTTTGTCATGGGACCATGTCTTTAATAACTATGAATTATTAAGTTAGATATTGATAAGCTATAAAATATGCAATAGATTGGTTGTGACATTTTAAGAGTCCCACATTGCTTGTAATAGAAATAGAAATCATGTTTATATAACAAAGAAACACAACTTTAAATAAATTGAAAATTGACAACTTTAAATAAATTGAAAATTGACAGGTATGGGTAAATGGACCTTTAATCAAGTAAATCAAAAATGGGCTTAAGCCTAAATAATATATTTTGATAATTAATTTAACTTAGGATCCAAGTCTCTTAAATAAAATTATTTAAAAAATGCCAATGTGGCATTTAATTATACAGCAAGAGTGTCACAAGCCACGTTAGAAATTCAAAGATAATTTTGGGCGATAAGATTTTCTATTTTGGAATTTATATTTGTTAAGGCACGAAAATATTTTTTTTAAAAGGGGGGTAAATCAAAATTTGCTACTATTGCAAGGGGGTAAAGTGCATATATATATATATATATATATAAATATATATATATATATATATATATATATATATATATATATATATATATATATATATATATATATATATATATATATATATATATATATATATATATATATATATATATATATATATATATATATATATATATATATATATATATATATATTGTAAATGAATATGAATTGTACGTGGATGATTCATAAATATCTACATGTATGTGTAATTGTGTGGTAATTCAATTGTGATGAATTATTGAAGATATGCATGAATGTTAAGATTAGAGAATGGTCTTAAATGCATATGGATTTTGTAATTGCACATACATAATTTCTTGTCAAGAGGAGTGTGTGTTAGTTCCACGGAAGCTAGTGACTTATCTCAAACCTAGAGAGTGGTTTGAAATCTTAGAGGATGGGCTTTTGTGTGTTAGTGGTCTAGAGGACGGACCCGGTTTAAAGTAAAAATCGAATAAAAATAACAGTGATTGGTACAAAATGCATGAGTATTTCATTTGAGTTGCATTGAGTCATATTGTGTGTATGTTTGCATTATGGAATTATGTGAACTGTGTGGGATTGTTGTATTTTGTGAAATTGTGAATGATGAGTGAATACTTGTGAATAGTATGATTATTTGAGTGATGTTATGTTTTTAAAGTATATGAAGTGTGAGAATATTATCTATATGCATGTATGCTATGTAATATACATTGTTATATGATTTTGATAATTATGTGAATTCTCACCCTTCTGTTGAAATGATGTTTTATACGACATCGCTCAGGTATTGTAAGATTAGAGATGCTTCTAGCGAGAGAGTAGCTGAAAGAGCTAGGTTATTTTATTTCCGTATTTATTTTGGGTTGAGTCATACTCTGGTCATATAACACTGGGAAAACATTTTAATTCATGTTTTTGGAGAGATAATTTATATACTCTATTCTATTTTGTTAATTTTAATTGAAGTATATGGTGAAGTGGCTTGTATGCCTAAGTTGATTAAATGAATGAAGTTTATTTTATACTTTTATGAGATTCTTAATTAAAGTGATTCTGCTATGACATGCTTATGTGAAGTGATATGAAAAATATGAGTTTAATTTAGTGTTATTTGAGCATGATAGAGATTTGTGATGTATGGAGTATGTGTGACACCCTTGTTTTGAAATACATGTTATAATTTCTCAGATTTATAATGCAATATTCCACAGGGTTTACAAGGGTGTTACAACTCAAGTCCATTTTGGAGAAAAGCCTTAGTCCGGGGATATTGTTGTTCCTCCTCCCCGGCCCTCTTTGTTGAAATTGGATAATTATGTTGAAATTGTATTATACATTGTTATATGATTTTGATAATTATGTGAATTCTCACCCTTCTGTTGAAATGATATTTTATACGACATCGCTCAGGTATTGTAAGATTAGATATGCTTCTAGCGAGAGAGTAGCTGAAAGAGTTAGGTTATTTTATTTCCGTATTTATTTTGGGTTGAGTCATGCTCTGGTCATGTAACACTGGAAAAACATTTTAATTCATGTTTTTGGACAGATAATTTATATACTCTATTCTATTTTGTTAATTTTAATTGAAGTATGTGGTGAAGTGGCTTGTATGCCTAAGTTGATTAAATGAATGAAGTTTATTTTAGACTTTTATGAGATTCTTAATTAAAGTGATTCTGTTATGACATGCTTATGTGAAGTGATATGAAAAATATGAGTTTAATTTAGTGTTATTTGAACATGATAAAGATTTGTGATGTATGGAGTATGTGTGACACCCTTGTTTTGAAATACATGTTATAATTTCTCTGATTTATGATGCAATATTCCACAGGGTTTACAAGGGTGTTACAACTCAAGTCCATTTTGGAGAAAAGCCTTAGTCCGGGGATATTGTTGTTCCTCCTCCCCGGCCCTCTTTGTTGAAATTGGAGGTGAATCTAGGTCCCTCATTTTCAAAGTATATGTGACATCTACAAGATGATCCACCTTGAGCATATGATCTGAAACTTCTATAGGTGGGGTAGGATAAGGGGTCGAAGTAGGAGCGGAGGCAGAAGAACAAGTTCTGGTATTCAAAACAACTAAAATACCTTGAGCATCAGCAAGACTGTAGAACATGTTAAACTTTATTATTTTATTCATGTTATCACCAAAATGCAATCACACATGTGAAAAAAGAATGAATAATGCACTCTCACTAATGATTTCCCCTCTCCTTAAAATCTACTGCGCTTAAGAAGCATGAGTACTAATTCGCCTCTTCCATACCTTGATAGGCGTCACCTCACACTGATCGAACCCTTCCTCATAACCAACTCCTTGAAACCAAGATTGCATTTCCTCCTTCATTATCACCTCGTTCGAAGAAAGAGAGCCCGACCGAGAGCAATAGGAGCCAACATCCCAAATGAAGTGGATCTTCGGCCAGTACTTCACGTATGAAAAAGTGATAGTATCGAGGAGAACCGATAGGAATATAACAGAAAACAAAGTGAGATTTAGGGATGAGGGGATTCTAAAATATAAAGCGACCCAGAAAATTGCCACAATCCATTGTCAAGGGTCGACCCAAGAGATGATCGATGAAGGTGAAAAAGCCCCTGATTGCGAAAATTGTCTGGGGAAGTATGCCTCGAATGTAAAAGATTGAAAAATAAGATAAGAGTGGGCTTTCTAGGATTCGTATGCGAAACATAATTGGAAGACCCTCACATATGCCCATGACCCAAGATGAAGCTGGGATGAGGCAATGTTAAAATGTTTCAAGACAACTAGCTCAAATTTAGAAAAGGGCAACTGAAGTCCTATTCTTGTAAATAAACACTCATAGAACAAGACCATGCAATCATCAAAAAAGTGCATATCATCTTCTCCTCTGCCACCGGAAGGACCAACCACTCCAAAGGATCGCCAACCAAAATTTCAGCATCACTTAAGGATGCCTCATTGCTCAGGGCTAAAGAAATGCTTGTTACTTTTGAATCCACCCAATCATAATTCGCCACATCCTGTAGGTTCTGAATATTCAAGTGTTATAACACCTAGACATCACTAGACATCAGTAAAGACGAACCTAAATGAAATTTCTAGCACATTCCATCCATTACAAATTGGCTTGTATCTTCTTTTCATATAAGATGGGAAGGGGAACCAGGATTTCAGCGTGACTTGTTCTTCTGTCAACATTTGAGATAATGACGTCTAAAAACCTAGATGAAGAAGTTTCTTCCTTCAAGGAAGTCTCAGAAATCCCTTTTGACCTAGAATCTATTATATATATATATATTATATATATATATATATATATATATATATATATATATATATATATATATATATATATATATATATATATATATATATATATATATATATATATATATATATATATATATATATATATATATATATATATATATATATATATAATTTTGTGTCCTACACAATCACTATTAAGGGAGGATGACAAGAATTATGGGACGATCCAAACGAAACTTTCATAATAACTCACTAAATCAAATTTTTGTTATCTCTCATCTTAACTAAGGAATTAGGAAATGTTGAAGGTAAAGTTTAAGTTAGAAGGGTACCTGGTGAAAGAAGATTGATGAAGCATGAGAAATGAAAAAGGCGGGAGCTTTAAACGAAGCTCTAAATCACTTCTAGCGATATTCTCAAGGAAGAAGGAACAAATATGTGTCTCTGGAAAAGTAATTAAAATCTTGAAAGTTAAAAGTTGTGAAAACTTCCAAATATTTAACTCATTCTATTTATAAGCGATAGCAGCTAAAGGGTCAAGACCAACTATGAACAGAGACCATAAGATCAACGACTAGATTTCCACTCATGGATACACGACAACTTAAGTACACTCAAGTACTCTCCAAACTGTGTCATACCCTTGCTGGTCACATCATTGCGCTTGTCAGAAATGGATAGTGAAATCTTCCATCGGTGGGACCGCGTTAAATATGTATGTTCCCCATTGTTTCTTCCAAAAAAACTAATCCCAAGTGATTCAATTCTATCACACCTCGAATCACGACATGAAGGTCGGTAAATTATACTTAAGCCTTCCTCTGGCTCCTTCAATGTATGAAAAAACTTTGGGGACAACTGTTCTGGATCAGCCAAAGGCCCAAATGATCAAGATGTAATCCTTCTTAAATCCACTTCATTCGACCAAAAATATAAAAACAATTCACATGTGAAGAGCAAGGTACACAATCTTTGATCTCCAATTTTGCTATACTCATCTTGAATCTTGAACTGACTTGGGCGTTTGAGTGTTAACCATGCAGGTCCACCCCGAGCTACCGTAATGGAGATTGGAATCGTTTAAGATCAACAATTATTCAACTCTCCTCATTTCTGATTCCTTCATGAAGCTTGAACATCCATTTCATGAAGCTTGAACTACTCTAAGATTAAAAATATTTATTTTAAGTGTTATTTTTATTACTATAATTTCAGGAAAACCAAAAATATTTTATTATATTTGAATTTCCACATCTCTTTTATATTTAAAATATGAGAGAATATTTTTAATTTAAAGGAATATACATAGTTGAATTAATGATTAGTTTGTTAGATCAATTTGTTCAAAATAATATTTTATTCCGTTTTTACGAGAGTTCGAATCCGTGACCTTCAATTTATTGAAGTATATGATAAAGAAGAGTTTTGAAATGTGTCATATAATACTATAGATGATGTGTCAAATTTAAAATTATATTTTATAATGTGTTAAAATTATAATTGATGATATATTATTATATTATTTGATACATTAGAGTTAATATATTATATAGATATAGATTTATACTAACTGATATACAACTCTTTTCTCAAGTTTAAATCCTTGAATTATCTTTACATTCTATAATTAACTAAAATAAGAGTAAATGGTATAGTTTTGTGTCAAGCACACTTACAGTTACACTCAATTGGTTTATATTAATTTTTAACAATGAACCATTGATTTTATATTTAGCTATAATGAGATCTGTACAAAAATTGAATGAAGGGAATTCCCTAAAAATAACTTTTATCTCCATTGATTGTTCCTAAAAACAGCTAAACCACAAATATCTACTATAACTATGAGTTTTAACTTCCAAAAATATCAATTATCAAATTTAGATTACAAATATAAACTTTCTAAGCCAATGCATAAAGAAGTCTAAAAAAAAAAAGAGTTGAATTTAGTTATTTAAGCAAAATGTCTGATCATGAGATCACAAAAATGGAAGAAGGTGACCTTAAGGCACCAAAACAACAAAAGGATTTAGGGTTTTTTAGTTCTCCTGAGGTTGTTCATACCATACAAAAGGTAATAGCTGAGGTGATAGGAACATACTTCTTAATATTTGCAGGGTGTTGTGTAGTGGTTCTGAATAAAGTGGGAGAGAGTAAAGGAACCATAACATTTCCCGGCATTGCTGTCACATGGGGTCTATCAGTTATGATCTTGGTTTACTCTCTCGGTCATATCTCTGGTGCTCATTTCAATCCCGCTGTCACCATTAGCTTTGCTGTCTATCGTCAGTTCCCACTCAAACAGGTATGCAAAAGTGATTACTTGCGCCACAAGAAAAGTTTGCAATAACGACGAATTCATGAATCTTTGATAATTCCAGGTGCCGATGTATATTGTTGCACAATTGCTAGGAGCTATCCTTGCTAGTGGAACATTGTGCCTTCTTTTTGACCTAGATGAAAAGTCGTTTTTCGGAACAATACCGGCTGGATCTAATGTTCAATCTCTTGTTTTCGAGATGCTAGCATCATTTTTATTGATGTTTGTTATATCCGCTGTTTCCACAGACAATAGAGCAGTTAGTATACTTTAATTCACATACTGTTTTTCTAGCATTTATATATCAAAATCTACCATTATTTGTTATATAAAACTAATTCATTTTTTTAATCAAATAGATCGGAGAATTGGCAGGGATTGCAGTTGGTATGACAATAATAATAGACGTTTTCGTGGCCGGGTAATTTAAGTTGATACTATTAATTATTTTATTATGTCAACTCAGTTAATAGTTGTGCAGGAATATCAGACATAGTTTTTCCTATTGATTAATTTGATAATTGCATGCAGGCCTATCTCAGGTGCATCTATGAACCCAGCAAGAAGCATTGGACCTGCATTGGTGATGCATGTTTACAGTGGATTATGGGTTTATATAGTTGGACCCTTTGTTGGTACCTTTTTAGGTTCCTCAGCCTACAACTTGATTAGATTCACTGACAAACCACTAAATGAATTAAGTGGAAGCTCAAGCTTCCTCAATAGTTTATCAAGATAAGGAGGAAGTTTTCATTAGATAAAAATGTCATTGTTTTAAATCATTAGATGCAACCTAAATAAGCATGGTGATGATAGTGTGGTGATGATTAAATTTTTTCATACATGTTAGGATATTAGTCCAGAAATTAGATTTTTTTGGTGTAATAATATGCTATGAAGGCATAGTTTTCTGGTCAATGTCATCTACACATTCTTCCCTTTGTTCATCACTTTTCTTCTATTTTGGGTTAAAAAAATTATAAGGAAGAATTACAAAAAAAAAAACGGCAGACTTACTTGTGTTCACATTTGAGCCGATCTAAATAAAATAAAAAATTAATCGAAAAAAATCATTTATAAGTAAGAATTTAAATTTTGATTTTTTTTTAACAATTTAAATTTTGATTTAAGCATATACCAAACTCACATTTTCTCATGGTTACCGGTGTAATTCATATAACTTTTTTTATAAAATCAAGGTACCTCTCACGCAAAGGTAAAAAATTAATACAATTATTTAAGATTCATTTAAAGAGTTGATATCTTTGAATATTTAATATTTCATATTTATAGAAAGAGATACGTTGGGGATTCAATTATGAGTGGTCAAATTTCATAACGATTTGAGATAGAGGAAATATTTAGTATATAAAAAATGTAATTCATGTTCCATATAACTTTAACGTTTTGGATAAATATGTGATGTCTATGTCTCTTAGATTTTGAATTAAAAAAATTAGTCAATTAATATTTCTGATGCTCTCTAAACTCCTCAAAAGTGGTATTAGCGTATGATTCCTCCTGAAAATCGACCTGAATCACAACGTTGATACATCTGTTGCAATTGTCTGCTTCAATATTATCTGCTTGTCTAAAACAATATATTTGTTGAATGACCATCTTCATTTTCATTGAATCTCATTACTTGAAATCCTTCACACTTTTTGTTTTACCGACGAAGACACACTTCTTCTAAATTTTAGATCAAGTTTGGATCGATCTTCACTGGATATATGCCCATAAACTGGATATCCAAAAATACTTAAATTGTCAAGACAACAAAATTATCTCTCTATACCTCCTCTCCAACATTCCCCTAAAATGAAGCTTGGGGGTGAACTATTGATAAGATAACACGCCATGTTAACTGCCTCTTTCCAAAAAAAAATTAATAGTCCAACATTTAACAAAAGACATCTTGCTCTTTCACTTATATACCTATTCAGTATCTCGGTCATACCATTTTGTTATGGTGTCTTGCAAATTAAGAAATGTTAGCATGCTCTTCACAAAACCTCTTGAATTTAAAATCAGTGTACTCTGCCCCCATTATCTGATTGCAAATACTTGATTTTTATGCTCATTTGATTCTTTACACATACCTGTTGTACCCTAAATTTTGCCCCTAACTTTTTCAGTCGCACTTTCATATCATATTTTGTCATTTGGTCACAATCATTAATAAACAACTTCATTCATCACATTTGCATCCTATCTTTAAGTTTACTCTTGTGTTGTTGACTAACTTCTAATCAAAATACAAAAAAAAATATTTGTCTTTGTCTTTGCATATTTGTGTTTTGTAGGTACCGAGTCGAAGCGTCGGACAAATAAGGTTTTCCGGTATTATTTCCCTAAAATCTCTATTTGCAAAGAAAAAGAATTAAAAAATTTTCATTTTTTTCACTGTACAATCGATTGCTCCTAGAGTACAATCGATTGCACAAAGTGCATTTTGCATAATTTTTGAAAAAATACATTGTGCAAATCGATTTGCACTGTAGTACAATCGATTGCACAACGTGAAAATTGAAAAAAAAAATCAGCAATTTCAAGCTTGTCAAATTTTGGCTCCAATTTTTCTTCATTTTTTGAAAGAATTATCATTAATTCAAATTTTGACTCCAATAATCAATTACCAAATTAGCACTAATCCCAATCCTAACCTCTATAAATAGAGCCCTCGTTTTATTCAAATTTCAAGCTTTTGATAGCTAAAATCACTTTGCTAAAAAATCTCTCAATTCTCTAAATCTACCAAATCCACTCAAAGCTTCATTTTCAAGAAAAGTTAGTAAGTTTTGCATTGAAGCTTACTAATCTTTGAGCTAAACCTTCATCCAAACACTTTTTCTTCATCAATTATCTACATCCAAGCTTGGGCAATTGATTCTTGTGGTTGAATTGAAGCAAATTCTTGAAGTTGTTTTGATAATTCTCTAGATCTACCTTTGGTAAGTTGGATTTTCCATATTTCACAATGTGATCTCTTGGTGATCTTTGGGTTTGATTCATTGAGTATTATTTTGTGATTCTAATGGTGCTATTTTCGCATAATTTGATGAAATTTTTGTGCTCAATTGGATCCATGATCATAAGGTATTTGATGGAAGGTTTGAACAAGAATTTGGCCTTTTGAAATGTTGTTTTTCCTACTGTAACAGTGTGCAATCAATTGCTGTCCTGGTGCAATCAATTGCACTACGTGAATTTCGCGCAAATTTTTGAAAACTTCATTGTGCAAATCGATTTACACTGTAGTGGAATCGATTTGCACAGAGACAAAATGCATTTTTTGCCTTTTTTTGGGGCAACTTTGATCCAAAATTATTTTTCTACTCACTCCTTTTGATTGTTGGTTTGGATTGCAATTTTAAATATCCAATTTCTCTTTAAATTCAATGGACTTTGTGGTGTAGATGAATTTGGATAAATGTTCATCAATTCAAATCTACCAAATAGTAAATTATTTAATTTATTTTTGGTGCTTTGGATTAATGATATGTTTAGTGCTTTAATCCATCTAGATGAGTAATTGAATTTAAAGATGAAAGAAATTTGAGGTAGTGATCCATATTAGCTTATCATTCCCCTTCCTCTTTATCTTATCCCTTTCTTTTTTAATTGTGCTACATGTTAAGGGATGATGATCTATATATCATTTATCCAAACATGAAGTACATAGATTGCTATTGACCGGCCTCAAAATAGGTGCGACTTCTACATAAGTCCACTTACGATTGCTTAACATAGCGCTAAATTTTGTCCCGATTCGAATAAATGATCATTCGTGGCCCAAACCTATGTTTGTAAGCTCAAGTATGTTAATTTGATCTCTTTGATCCAATAACCTTGAGATTCATTGTGTGGAGGCTTTTGTTCTACCAATCCTCTAATGGATCTTCATCAATTTTGGTCAACGCAGATCACTTAAACATTGTTGATCATTAAATGTTGCCTTGAGTTTTCTTTAAATGGATGATATACTTGACAAAAAGAAAATACAACCTGTTGTGTGGAGGCTTTGGTTCTACCAATCCTCTAATGAGTTCAAAATGCAAGTTTCAAGATGGTCATCCAACTAACCACTAATTTCTAACAATTGACTTTATTTTATGCTTTTATTTTACACTCTTTACTTTATGTACCATTTACTTCAAGCATTTATTTCCATGCTATTTTTATCTTTGCTCACTTGAGCATTTACTTTTATGCCATTTTTATTTTGCTCACTCGAGCTTTTCTTTTCTTTTTGAAGACACTTAATAATCAACATGAACCATAAAAAATATTAAAGATACTTGGACTATTTGGTTACTATCCTTGGCATTATGAAGTATTGGACTTCTCGGACTTAGGAATAGAAACCTTGGCTTATGTTGGAGATCTTATGAACTTAATTAATATTTTGTATGGAGCTCTTGAGATTTACCTCAAGACATTGGGTTATTTGTTTGTTTTGTGTACAGTTTATTGTGATTACACACTTTGTCTGTAATCTGGAATTCATCTGTATACAGCTGTTACTCTGCCCATTTTTTTAGAAGACTTAATACACTTGAAGTTTGGTCTTCTCAAGAGGTCTAGTACCTTTACTTGCTTGGTTTCAATCCAAAGAATTGGAATTCTATCTTGACCCATAATGTTAAGTATTGGATTCTTGTTGGTTAGACGGTTCCTCTTCCTTAGCTTTTACCTTATGCTTTAGGATAGTCCTTCATCTCCTCCCATCTTCTTTAATTTTCAAAATCTTCTCATCTTTTTCAAAATCTTCTTTGTTTATAAAATCGAACCGCTTTCATAATAAACCTCGGCTTTGTCGAGTGCCTTCTCTTCTAAAACTTCTTTTCTTTAAACAAACTTCAATTCACTTAATCATACTTTGACATCTTTCAAAATTAACAAAAACACTTCGAAATCATTCAAACTCTTTTGTGCGCTCGAGGACCTTTACCATTCAAAACTTTTTTTTCAAGATGAGACATGATTAATTTATAGTCGAGCAACATTCTCCTATCCCCATGGTTATAAAGGTGTCGAATTTTCCACTTGAGTGCTAGAGGCATTCTCAAACCCTCACTCTTCCTGACGCAGGGTCCATCTTTCCCACACCTTGTAGGCGTTAGTCGAGATTTCTCTCCTAACAATGACGACTTATCTCCTTGTTTAAAATCAATCAACAGACAGTTCTTTTCTAGCCTAACTATGGTGCTCTGACTTTCCCATTGCACGAGGGAGTACGTAGGCACTAAGTCTTACGACCCAAGGCGAGCAACAAAAATAATAAAAAACATTTCATTTTCTTTTGTTTACAAATACTCATTCATTATTTTCCTTTAGCAAGTAAACCTTTACATAACACTCCTTTTAAAAGAAACCGAACAAAGTGGATCCTGCGGAGTACCGTAGATGCTTAGGGTGCTAACACCTTCCCTTTGCATAACCGACCTCCGTACCTCGATCTCTGATCTTTTATTCCATTGTGGGTTTTGTTCGCTTTTTCCCCATTTTCCTTTGGAAACAATAAAGTGCGGTGGTGACTTCATTGTGTTGAGTTAAGTCAATTGATAACTTAATCTCAAATCTTTACTGCTACATTTCTTTTCCTATCATTACTGTCGCAATTGAGTTCATCTCTTAGTTCTGATTTGCGCATGCAACAGAAAGTGGCGACTTCACTGGGGACAAATTGACTTATTACTGGTTCATTCCTAAGTGGTTCAATCCTAGCTTTGTTTG